GCGACTGCATACGAGAGGGCTGTGAAGGAGGGCACCGATGTCAAGGCTATCTGCGTCATCAACCCGGGTAACCCCACTGGCGCGTCGCTGCCCGCCGAAGACATCAAGGCTGTGCTCAAGTTCGCCGCCGAGAAGGGTCTCGTCGTCATCGCCGACGAGGTCTACCAGACCAACGTCTTCATTGGCGAGTTCATCTCCTTCAAGAAGGCTCTACGCGACCTGCAAAAGGAGTCACCCGGCCAGTACGACCACCTCGAGCTGGCTTCTCTGCACTCAATTTCCAAGGGCATGGTCGGCGAGTGTGGTCACCGAGGTGGCTACTTTGAGCTTATCGGCTTTGACCCAGAGGTCGCGCAGGAGGTCTACAAGTTCATCTCCATCCAATTGTGCCCGCCAGTCTTGGGTCAGTGTATTGTGGAGATGATGGTCAACCCACCAAAGGAGGGCGAGCCAAGCTACGAGCTCTACAAAGAGGAGTACGACGGCATCTTCCACGGATTGAAGAAGCGCGCATACGCTTTGTATGAGGCGTTCAAGCAGATGGAGGGTGTCGAGTGCAACGAGCCACAGGTACATATTCCACGCCAACTACACATCGCATAGCTAACCCAAACATTAGGGCTCCATGTACCTCTTCCCCACCATCCACCTCCCAGAAAAGGCCATCCAACAAGCCAAGAAGGAAGGTCGCGCGCCCGACGAGTTCTACTGCTTCCGCATGCTTGACGCCACAGGTGTCTGTGTTGTTGCTGGTACAGGCTTCGGACAGAAGGAAGGCACGCTGCATTTCAGGACAACCTTCCTTGCCCCTGGAACCGACTGGACAGGGCGTATTGTCAAGTTCCACGAGGAATTTATGAAGGAGTTCAAGTAGGCGCGATGACCGATAACAAGTTGGATGCGTAGAGAAGACTGTAGTATGAGATACGGCATGGATTGAATAGATCTCATGAACAGCACTAAGACTCTCATCAATGTTCGGTCTCTTACTATGCCTTGACCTGTGTAATTGCCGAAGTACGTAGTAATGGTGGGGGCGGGGTAAGAGGACTGATATATCCGAAGACGATCGCGACATCGCGCAACTGCCGTGCATTGTACCTGAATGGACCCTGGTCTTGGCTTATGCCGAATGACATGGGATATATCCATAGCTCCACGCCAGTGCTCATCGTCATGTATATCGCGTGCGTTGTTACTCTGCATGTTTTTGGTTTTACCTGTCTACGTCCCTAGGTATTCTTGTGTAATCATTGCGCAGCTCCATAACAGCAGCTTCATCTCGTCTACCTAAAATCATCATCGTCATTATCCAAGTCGTCATCACCACCAAATGAGCACCAACACCACAATGTACACTCATAATCAATCTCCCTCTAACACACAGCTTTCAACCTTCGAATCCCTCCCCGACGAACTCCTCGACCTAATCCTCTCCCACCTCCCCTCCAGATCCACCCTACACACCCTCACCCTGGTTTCCCGCCACCTAAACCGCCTCGCAACAGCCCACCTCTACACGCACATCACGCTCTACGGCGCCGACTTCAAGTACCTGCGTCCGCTCGCCCTCCTCTTCTGGACCTCTCCGGCACATCGCCAGCTAGTCCGTTCTTTTTCCGTGGTTCATGCGTATGGCGGGAATCTGGATCCGTGGCCGAAGTGTGAGGGGCTGGATTTGGATGCGGTGATTAGGGGGAATGTGGAGTGCTTTGTTAGGAAGAGTGATTGGGGGGTTTGGGTTGAGGAGGTGAGTGATGATTTTGTACTGTGTGGAGAGGGTGTGAGATGGTTGCTGACTGAGTATATCTATGTTTTAGGTTAGGGATGGGAGTGATTCGACGCGCATTGCGAGTCTGTTGTTGAGAAGCTGTCCGAACCTGAAGAGGATGCAGTTGCCAGGGTTTGAGTTGGTGGATCCGTGTGGGACTTGAGAGTTTGGACTGCACCTGCATAGTTGATGCTATGCGTCGCTGTGGCGTTTAAGGCTGGGTAATGTACTGTGTACGTCAGCTGAAAACGCGCACCTCTTAGGAGGACAGAACGCCATACCGAATTGAGGTGTTCGGATAGTCTGGGACTGCAGAGACAGTCAGTATGTCTCGCGGACTATGCACCGAGGTACCCCGGGACGCAGCTCTACCTTCCAAGGTGCATGATCCACGCCTCCAGCCTTCAGATATGCAAGACCCGCACGAGAGATCACTTCGAAGCTGTTTAGACAAAAATATGGGTGTGGCTGGAGATCACCAATGAGTTACCACTGGATCACACGCGGCATGAGCCCACCCGCTCTGGCTACACATCCGTAACGGTCGAAGTTGACAACAACAGAATTTCGTCAACAAGAAGGTGCCGCTAAGTTGCGCGTTCCTGCAGCATAATATGTCAGGGTCGCCGCCTCGCATACGAGCTCATTCGCCCTCGCCGTTTGGGCGACATGTAAAGAGGGTCGACCCTCTACCGCGGTACCACATCCTCATCATGCGCGAACACGACAACACATTCGTAATGCAACATACTATCAGAGATGCCTCGTTTATCTAGTGGGTAGTATGGATATGTTGGGCCTGTTGACGAACAACAGAGGTATATAACACGGTCAGCGCCACGGTGTGAGCTGAGCTGTGTATATATCTGGAAGCGACGTGGACTCGCTACCGCGATCGCAAAGTGGAAGAGTTATTTTTCTTTGTTGAGAGAAATTCTTACTAGACAGGGTCTCCTTTAACATATCGCTATTCTCACTCATCAGTCCTTTCCAGGAGCACCGGAGGAACGTTCGCTCTTCTTCGAAGATGTCTTCATCCGACTCTACAATGGGTACGACACCACCTACAACGGAGCGCAAAGTCGACTTCGTCATTGAGGAACAGGATTTGGGAAGTGTACCACTCACTCAGCCCCAAGTATTCAACAATACCCTCTCTCGCCGCCTCAGTCGCCCTACGCTTCCTCCTTCTCTTCCCTCTCAGACACCCTCCGCCAAATGGAAGCGATCGGAGGGCTTTTGGCGATCATTCGTTGCCATATGCATCCCATTACTTCTCTCCGCCCTCGAGGGAAGTGTAACCAATACCGCCCTTCCCACCATCTCCGAGGCTTTGGATCTCGGCACGAAATTCTCCTGGGTTGCGACCGCGTTCCTTCTCGCGAGCACCATCTTCCAGCCCCTGTACTCTCAGTTCGGCGATATGTGGGGAAGGAAAAGTCCTATGATGACTGCTGTTGCCGTCTTCGCAGTGGGCTCAGCTATCTGCGGCGGCGCACAGAACGGCGCAGTGCTCATCGCTGGACGCATTGTCCAAGGTCTGGGAACCGGTGGAATTGATCTGTTCGCCGAGATGATTCTCTGCGATATCGTGCCATTGAGAAAGAGAGGCCCGTATTTGGCGATCAAGCACGTTGCTTTCGCCGCTGGCACCACACTCGGTCCACTCCTTGGAGGAGTCTTCGCTGAACACGGTTGGCGATGGTGTTTCCTCATCAACATACCCGTCTGCGCCATCTCCCTGGTCGTCATCTGGCGCTGGCTAAATGTCGGTGGAAGTAACACTACCCCAGAAACAACCCTTCGACAAGAGTTGAAGAAAGTGGATTACGTAGGAAGCGGCATGCTCACGGGCTCTGTTCTGATGCTACTCGTCGCTCTCAGCACAGGCGGCGCACCGAAGCCTTGGTCTCACGTCTCTGTCGTTATACCCATGGTCTTCGGTATCCTGGGTCTCATCGGCTTCGGTTTCTGGGAACGCTGCTCCTACTGCAAATACCCCATCATGCCACCGCACGTCTTCTCGAACCGCACGACAAACATCGCTTTCGCATTAACAACCATGCACGGCTTCATAACGTACGGTTTCCAATTCTACCTCCCGCCTTTCTTTCAAGCAGTCAAGGGCTCCTCGCCCACACAGTCAGGTCTAGAAGTCATGCCCACGACCCTCGTTATCGTCGTCCTAGCCGCGGTCGGCGGGCCCTTGCTCAGCTACTGGGGCAAATACAAACCCATGCACATCATCGGCTTCGCTTTGACGACGCTCGGCCTAGGTCTCTGCACACTACTCAACGCCAAGTCCTCAATTGGTGTCTGGCTCTCCCTCCAGCTCATCACCGCAGCTGGTCTCGGCATAGTCATCAGCACCATGCTCCCCGCCGTACAAGTCAAGCTCCCCGAATCCACAACCGGCGCAAGCGCAGGCTCGTGGGCCTTCCTCCGCGGCACGGGCTCTCTCTTCGGTGTCGCCATCCCCGGTGCCATCTTCAACGTCCGTTTCGCATCTCTCCTTCCTACCATCTCCTCTGCGACTGCTCGCGCTAAACTGGAAAACGGGCAGGCGTATCAACGCGCTACTGCATCTTTCATCGCCACGCAAGCCACATCCCCCACCATCAAAGCCGAGATCATCAATGCGTTTACCCAGAGTCTCAAGTGCGTGTGGATTGTCTTTGCGGTTCTAGCAGGAATCGGCTTTTGTCTTACGTGGGGTGAGAAGGAGTACAAGATGCGGAAGGAACTTAATACTGTGTATGGGCTCAAGGCGAAGAAGACGGGGGGCAGTGCGTGTACCACGCCAGGGTTCGTGGACTCGGGGGTTGCTACACCGGTCAATGTGGACAGCAGTGATGAGGAGATGAACAAGGCGAATGGGGAGGATGACGGGTGTGCGGTTGAGATGGATGAGGATGATGTTGAGTTGGGGGATATCAGGAGGAGGAGTGGTGAGATGTGATGAGGGTGCGGGCAGTGCAGGGCAGATATCCTGCTTGTAATAATAGTGGAATTAAAAAATCTTGCATTCAGACTTTGGGTTGGCGTTCTGACGGGTACAACTAGGTGTCAAACATTCTGTTCAAGACTTCAAGTAACTGATGCTAAATGCAGCGTATCTAGTATATATCTACTCTAAAACCCCCACGAAACTGTCACCAGCCAAGTAACAATACCCGACCTTCGTCTCCCCAATCTCACTCCCTTCATCACCGCCACACCGCCCCTCCTCTCACGCTTTCCATCCTCCGTTTCGCCTCTACAAACCTCCTTCTTGCCTCTTCAAATACTCTCTGCGCCTCAATCACCTCCATCCTCCTCACATTAAACTCATGCGTCGCTCTTTGCGCTGCCTGGACCCGAGCATCTATCCTCGGCACTGGATATGTATCGCGCATGTAGGACTCGAAAAGAGTGCCGTTTGCATTATTATCGTTGCTGGTGAGTTTGTCGTTACCGTAACTATTATCCGCAATGTTAAGGAGATCTGATTGCGTGGGCTGGTACGTGTTCTGTCGTACCGGACAAGGCGTATCCGGATCTCCGCCAAACTCCTGGGCTAGGCTATTGAACAAGGGCGTGAAAGAAGAAAACGGTGGGACAATTCCAGGAGATGTAGCTGTAGGCGTGGGTATCTCAGCAATGACAATCGGAGGGGGGCGGGAGCGGCGCTGCGTCTGCGGTGTGGTAGTTGTAGAAGGAAGTGTTGCTGTTATCGTAGCTTGTGAATCCGGGGGCGTGGCTATGTCATCGAAGTTGATGCAGATTGGCGTGCTAGGCTCGTTGTTTTTGCTGTGGTCGTCTTCGGAGATGACGCAAAGTTCCTCTTTCAGTCGTTTCGCTAGTCTTTGTGCGTCTTCGTCTTGTTCATCCTCAACGACGGCGTTCATCTCCTGTCTAATCGAGTACTTCCTCTTCCTCGTTTCATCTTCTTTGATCGGGACGGGTCCTTGCATCTCGCGACCTCGGCTCATTCTTCGCAAACTCTCACACGCCTTCTTCACATCGCTGATTTCCAAGATGGCGAAGATCTTTTGGGACTTGCCACTGTATGAGCCTTCGCGGATGCGTGCCTGGAAGTAGGTGTTTAGTAGATTGTGCGCTCGGTCTCTTTGGCCGATGGTTAGTGTAGAGAGTTCGTGGATGGCTTGGATAATTGGGGCCGGGAGGCAGTTGATTGGGACGCCGGCGAGGAGTGAGGGTGGGAGGATGGGTTCTTCTGAGGTCGCGGGGTGGATGAACCAGTTTTGTTGGATGGCTTGGATGTGGTTTATGATGTCTATTTGGCAGCCTGCACTGCTGGGATTTGATGTGTGAGACATGTTTGTCATTCCCATATTGCTTATCGTGTGTTGAGCTCTTGGTTGGTGGAAGATACTGGGATGCAGGCGCAGTTTGTAACACAATGTCACGATCATAAGATGTGCCTCGACGCTGGTTCATAGCTAGAAGTGCTACAACAAAGAGTCGGTGGCTACAAAGGTCATGGGTTGAGTCCCGGCTTTGTCCGTGTTCAGGTCCGAAAACTCGTGTCTGGTGGCGCTTTGTCCAGTGGCTCCAGAACAGTGTCGGAGACCGCACTTGACATAGCGGAGGCTGTGCGAGAGGCAAAAAGTCCTAGTATAGAAGCTATGAGGCGTGTTTCAGGTTGAGGTCGAAACACCATCGGTGGACAGAGTCGTATCTCGGAGCGCTGATGCGATCGTCATAGACAGGAGAAGAATGTACATCCGAGTAGAAGCCTGGAGTAGACCAGATGACGACCCAGTATAAAGAATACGCAGTAGTCGAGGAAACCCAAACATATCAAGACAAACTCACTGTCGAATCGTTACCTACACTTCATGATGACTTCCAAACGTCAAACTCTCCAACGTAGCCTCCCGCCTACCGATTCCCCCTCAGGATATCCCCAATCTGACTGAACGGATTCCTCAACCCCCTCGCACCCCCTAATTTCCCAGCTGTCGCACCAATCGTCTTCGGCGGATCGTGTTTATAGCCACAAGTAGTATTCGTGCATCCGGCTGGCGAGGTCTTTTGCCACCTACAGAGAGTCTCCGATTGAAGCGGCTTTGCCTGCTTTTCGTTCCTGCGCGCTCCAGATGCATTGATGATATCCTCTAGAGATTGTTCGATGCGAATAGTAGGAGGCTGATGTTGAGGTTGATGTGGCATCGGTTGATCGTTCTTTGTTATCCTGTCGGCGAGTGAACGGTTTCCTCGAGGGCCAGTTGGTGGGGTATGGTAACCAAATGGCGTTTGGTTATCAAAAGAGGTGGGTTGCTCACCCCTTGTTACCCGCTCAGCAAGCGTCGGTTTGCGCACTGCTGGCGCTGGTGGTGGGGCGTGGCCGAACGGGTTCTTGCTGTTGCTATTGTGAAAGCTAAAAGTCTGGTTTTGCTGCTTAGGTTGCAAGGTAGATCGCCCATTCCCCTTCATCCCCCCACCGAGTGGATTTGAACCGCCCGGCAGGTGACTGGAAAAGGGATTCGTTTGGGAAAAATTGCCTGATTGTGGTGCAGGGACAGGATCGATGACCATTTGGTCAGCCCGTGGAAACTGTTTTGACTGGCCTTTCGATGCGACTTCTGTGAGGAAGAAAGGATCGTGGCTGTGTTTACATCTCCCACCGAATCTGCAACTACCGCTCAACCAGAACTTGCATGCGGTGTGCGGTAGCTTGCAACTCCTGCCTAATGTGCAGGTCCCGTTCTTGTATGCTGGGCAAGCCGCCTTGAAGTTGCCGTCGTCGGCTGACATTCCGAAGGGATGTGAGGGAGCGCCGTTGGGGATATGAGTATTGAAGGGGTTCGACTGGCCTACGCCGCGTGTGATCGACGTTGAAGAACCGACCTGACCAAAGCCCGGGTGTTGCTGCGAGCTATCAGACCCTCGAGTATCCATCATTTGGACGTCGTCGTCTTTCGGCGTAGGATAGTGTGAAACTTGGCCGAATGAACCTAGCTGCCCATATGACCCACCATTTACAGAGCTTCCGAAGGAAGTGCCTAGAGAGCTCTGCGGCTGGTACAAGCTACTGTTGGCAGTCTGGTTGCTAGTGAAGGAAGAGTTCATTGAAGCGCTACTCTGTCCTGCAGTAACTGGAAGTGACGATGTCGTGGTGGCTTCTGGCTTATTGTGGGCTGCCTGCTTAGCAGACAGGTTGGCTAGGTCGGTTTTGAGTCTGTTGATCTCAGTTGTTTGTTGCGCAATCTGGTCTTTGTATGACTTCTCGCGTTGAGCTGTTGCTGCAACTTCCGCGACCTTCTTCACACTCTCTTGAGCACGTTCTTTTGCGGCGGTCATCTCGAGCGACTTGATTTGTTGCTTCAGCTGATCTCGCTCTGTTTGAACTCGCTGGACTTCGTCATGTCGTTCCTTCTCTTGCTGACGGATTTGTTCCTCTTTCTGCAGACGCAGGGCTTCGGCCTTTTGCGCTCGGTATTCTGCCATCTGGTGTGCGTCGGGGCCGATGCTGGTCTTTGCAATCTTGTCTTCGGTTGCTTTCTGCAACGTCTCCATCGTCTCATCAATTGACCCAGTCGGGAAATTGAAGCTCGCAGGTGGCGGGCTGAGCCAGCCTTCCATGTCTTCAATATTGGTGATCAGATCGCCGAGGAGGTGGTGAGGCCGTGAATACTTCATCAAGTCGCGGAGGGCTCGAAGCCGGTAGGTTGGCAGCGGTGTGTAAGGCATGACGTTGCGCCATTGCTCTCCTTTGGCGAGAATATGGTGTAGGCCATTGATACACTCGCGTGCTTCGACGATGGATTGTTCATCGACCTTCGAGCCATTTCCTATGACTCTGTCGATGACCATCATGTCATTTCGCACAGTCTGGTAGTGCTTCGCAAATTCCTTCACAAGCGCGCCCTTCTTTTCGTTCTTTTGAGGGATGAGAGTTGTCAGACGAGGGATGACATGACGAGCTGCAGCATCCTGCTTCATGGTTCCTTTCAACGCGGCGTGGCTGAACAACTCGACAAGATCCTCTCGCCAGTCGTTTGCAACGTCGGCAGTATACTGCGAGTAGCCGGCGATGTGTAAGCGCGCCTTGTACGCGCTGAAGCACGTCTCAGCCATGTACTTGGCGTTGTACTCCTTTTCGTTGGGGCGACTCCTCTTTGAAGGCGCTGCGATGGGAGTCGCATTGGGTTCAGCCTAGACGTCTGCGTTAGTTCAGAAGGAAAGGATCTGAAGACAAGTGGCTCACCGATTCTGACTGGCTGTTCGCAGTAGCCCGCTTCCTCTTACCACCAGCCAGAGGAACTGCGTATGTTTGGTAGCCAGGGCCGTTGGCGGCCGAGGAATGAGCCATTGCGTTTGGGGGTTAGCAATATCTCGACAAATTTACTGGCGTTGTGTTGTGGCTGGGAGGCGTGTTGTCAAAACGAAAGCAGGACTTGGAAAGCGAAAATATCAAGTAGATGTCGGATCAAATTCGTGTAGGTAAGCAGGGGTTGAGTACGTGCTATTGTACACGCCACTAAGCCCGAATCAGGAATCGAGTGAGTATTACGAATAGATTGTGGTAGTGAAGGGGAAGAACGATAGCTACACGTGGTGGTAGGGTCCGTGCAAAGTGAATGCGTGTTGGACAAAGACGTGGCTGAAAGACCAGCACAAGGGCGACCGAGACTGACTGGTGAATGAGAGGCGTCACGGTGGTTCATATTTTCCTGCTCTGCGTATACAGTAGCTCTTCAGCCGGAGTCATCATAGGTGAAGAATGAGAATCTAGTGACGATGGGGCTAAAGTCCAGTCTACAGTGCTGAGACATAGGGACAGAAGCTGCGAAGATGACCTGAGTTATAAAATGTGCTCGATATAATGGGAGTAGAGGAATTGACTTTGGAATGGGGGACGCTGGAGGGAAACAAGATAGGACGACTGTCTTGATAGCAAACCGCAAAGGACACAGCTTGCTCAGGTTTCCTCATAGGCAACAGGCCAGATCTATGAGCACTGTATCGCATGCCCAGGTGGTGGCTGTGACGATGTTGTCGCGACTACTTCCCTGGGTGGATGCCGAGGATCGTTCCTTCCTGGGGATATTTCATGCCGAATGTTTGCTTCACCAAGGCAAGACATACTTGAAGCCAAGGTGCACAGAAGTAGCGACGAGAAAATAGACATTGTGAAATAGATCATTCGTGATAAAAACGAAAAGAAATACGAATAAGGTTCAGGTATCTGCTGGCTCGGCGTTGGCCGCCCTAGCGCAAATGTTGGGCAGGCACGGGATGCGGAGAGCAGATCGCGACGGGGAAGAGCGACCGAGGCAGGGTCGTCCCTCACCCGTCGATGTTTGGCCTCTCCAACATTGGAAGGCATCGCGACCATGCGCAATCCCGTGGCGTGTGTGTCCTGCAGGTCCGCCAAACAGAAGTGCATCCACGAAGACCGGCCGCCGTGCGACAGGTGCAAGCAGTGCGGGCGCGCCGATCGGTGCGAGTTCCCAGGTGCGTCGAAGCTCCTGCCGTCCCCTATAGTGCGCGTGTTGACAGACGATAGCGCCAGGAACCAGCGCGATACACCGCAAGCCCAAGCGACCACGGCCCTCTGAAGATGCAGGAGACGCTGGAGACACGCCGACACCAGCCAACTCGAGTACGACGGTTGTAGCGCCCCGTCAGGGCCGCCATGACGCACATCTGCCGACCGGCACCCAGGCGGCACAGCACGCGTCGCCGAATGCGGCATCCGCGCTGCTCGACGGCCTCGATCCCTTTGAGCTGCTGACGGACGAGGTCAAGAACAGCTACCTCAGATGCAGCTACAAGTGGAGCTTCCACCACACCCCGACGCTGCTGCGCCGGATCCGCGACCGCACCCTCGAGCCATGGATGGCCTGGGCGATCCTGGCACTGGCCATCAGGTATGCGAGCACCCACAGCGCAGGCAGTCGCACTGCTAACATGACGTAGATTCGTCAAGGAGCCGCCGTCGCCCTTCCGGTCGCAGACTGAGGCCAGCAATGCCTATGCCGCCCACGCCCGCCAGATCCTGCAGCAGGACCTCGAGACGCCCTCGATAAGCCGCGTCCAAGCCCTGTTGATGTTGACGGGCCATGACTGGGGCGCCGGCAATGGAAGGCGGGCGTGGATATACCTGGGCATGGCCATACGCCTCGTCGAAGTCATGGACCTGACGCGCGAGACCGGCATACCGCGAAACCGCGTGCCGACGCGCGAGGAGTTCATCGAGGCTGAAGTGCGCCGACGGACTGCCTGGACCTGCTTCCTCATGGACTCGCTGCTCAGTGGCGGCAAGGGGCGCAAGCGATCGTTGACACACGCCGATATGAAGATTCAGCTG